GGAGATTGGTTGCATATCATTATCGCAACAATAAATTATGTATTAGAATGTGCGCTCATAAGCACTAATTTGAGACAATATAAGTTATTATTGAAAGACCCGAATTTCAAAATAATGCCCGCGAGCGTTATTTCGCGCCTATACAATATCATTATAGGGAAAGTGCGATTGGCTGTATATCATTATCGCAACAACAAATTATGTATTAGAATGTGTGCTCATGAGCACTAATTTGAGACCATATAAGTTATTATTGAAAGACCCGATTTTCAAAATAATGCCCACGAGCGTTATTTCGCGCCTATACGATATCATTATAGGGAATGTGCATGTAAAGTGCACTTATAGAGAATGTGCATATGGAGTGTCGACTGTATTTCATTTATCGCAACAATAAATTACGTGCTACATTAGCGATAATTCGGTCGAGACCATATAAGTTATTTTTGAAGGACCCGATTTTCAAAGTAACGTCTACGAACATTATTTCGCGCTTATACGGTATTAAAATTTATTGCTATGATCATATGCGCACACTCTATAAGTGCACTTCATATGCACTTTCTCTATAATGATAAGGTCTAATGTAATTAGATTATTCACTATAAATGAATATTCTATAAATGTACTTTTACCCAACAACATGCATTTGTGTATTGGATTTAGAAAAACTTATCTTATTTCGAAATAACGCACATGGGCGTATTCATAATAAGTCAATTAATTAGCGAGCAGATAAGCGTTATTTCACATCATTATAGGGAAAGCGCACTTACAGAGAATATGCATATAGAATGTTGACTGTATATCATTTGTCTATGCATGTTAATTTGGAATACCAATTCAAGACTATACAAGTTATTTTTGAAGAACCTGAATTTCAAAATAATGTTACGTATTTCGCGCTTATATGGTATTAAAATTTGTTATAATTTTTGTACTTTATTTATTGGTTGGCGCAAATTCTTTGAATGATTAATGTCGCCAACCTGGCACACATTCAAGAGGTAATGAGAAATTCAGTATGGTATGGATTTTCAACAAAAGACCATACCATACTGATTAGATATAATATTTATTTTATTTTAAGTATGGAATGGTTTATTGTACACCTCTATACCATACTAATCCCAATTAATTTGAACCTAGCTTTTAAAAGCTAGATAAGGGCAAGATTTGTGAGAGTTTATAACAGCTCTATAGCAGGCTCTTGCAGGGCTCTCGTAGATCTCATCCTCATCTAACTTTTTAATAATGCTGTAATGCATTTTAAAATTTGTTTATCACATGATTAATAATAGTATGTATTATACTTTTGCATCGCCAATTATCAAAATTTAGTACGTAAAAAAAAATTCTTTTACGTACGTATCAATATATCGATTACTAATTTATAAATTTTGTTATATGATAGTTTATTGAAATGTGTGTCAGGTTTGTGGCGCAGCAAAATCCTTTAAAATTCGTTATAGGGTAAAGGTTAGAGTTAAGGTTAGAGAGAGGAAGTTTATATAGTAAAATTGCCCAACGAAACTTTTTGTTAGAGCACCAAAGGTGGTTTCTTATACAGAGTTTCGAGAAATAAGTGATTTCTTGCAAAATGAACGTTTGTTTTGAATACATCTTATTGTGAAATAGTTTACAGCTGTTTCATAAATTCTGGAACACTGAAAAAATTGCCGAAGACCGAATCGATAAGTTACCGAGTCGGAATCAATAAGTAAGCGACTTCGGCCAAACTCGGAAACTTTTCGATTCGGTCATCGGCATTTTAAGTTTGTTCCAGAATTTATGAAAACAGCTGTAAGTAATATGCGCCACAGTTGCGCCTAGTGATGCGGGTCGATGCTAAAACTCTGGGCCGACCCGGCCGATAAAACCATCGGCCGGTCGACCGGACAGGCCGACCTTGATTTGATTTTTGTGATCGATAAAGCATATCTTTATATTCGTTGAAATCTACAAATTCTCTTAAAATCTGCAAAGTTCACACCTTTTTGCAGACTGCAATAATAGGTTAATTAATTTAAATTTATATAAAAAAAAAAAAAAAATCATCGCACAATAACAAAACGATGAGGGTTTTTGGACATATGTTTTACTATGCCCATAACGTGATTTTCAGGCAAAGACCCATTTATTTATATTATAGTCGTTTTCATTCATATTTCCGTGGGAAATTGAAATTCTGAATAATTAGAGAACGAATTCCTAATGTTTACTATTCAATCTCATGTTTCCATAGGTATATGGAAATCATATCATTCGCATTTTTTTAAAAAGATGTAAAATCTGCACTGAATATAAATTAAAAACCCTAGCATCAAAATTTTATCTTTTATACATTTCTATTAGCCAAAGAAAATTTACAGCTGTTTTCACAAATTCTGAAACAATTAACTGATAAGTTTCTGAGTTCGACCGAAGTCGGTTACTTATTGATTCCGACCAGTGTTCCGATCCATTATCCGTTTATCCATTTATGCATCAGATATTTGGATCTGAATTTATTCGGATATCCATTTTACCATTGATATCCGGATAATTATTTGAATGCCTGTCAGATTATCCAGATATCTGAGCGATCTGAATTATCCGGATAATTCGGATACGGATAAACGGATATCCGGATTGGAACTCTAATTCTGACTCGGTAACTTATCGATTCGATCATCGGCAATTTTCTCAGTTGCTCCAGAATTTAGGAAACAGCTGTAACTATATATCGACCGGGCCGCCCACAAAGGTGCGGGCCGACCCTCGATCCGCCTGGCTGATCAGATATGTAGTGTTTGAAAAATGTACAGCACCCCTAAAAAGCTAACTTTAATTTGTATCCTAACTCTTAAACATAAAGTCTAATTTTAACTTTAAATTTTAAAATAAAATTCTATAAAACCTTATATCAAAAGCACATACCTGTGAAATTCATCGATGATTTTTAACTACAAATTGTTTATCATTTATTTTGTATAAAACGCACCTATCTATTATATATTTTTTAATATATATTTTTCTAAATTTTTATAAATTTTATATATATAATTTTTAGCTCATATTTTTCATGTTAGGGTTAATATTTAGGTTAGAATTAAGGTTTGGAAAAAGTTTTTGAGGGTGTAGAGCATTTTTACTTAGAATGCTGTATGCTAATTAATTGGCCAGTTTTTAAGCTATACGTACAACATAGGTGGTAAAATACCATAGGTTTTTAGTAAAACTGTTATTTATTACAAAAATAAAGTATTTATATTTTAAAAAACATTATTGTACGTACAAACTTCTAAATACTGAAATGCGTAATACTGTATTATATATATAATTACTATATATATGTGAGTATCAACAAAAAAAAACCCGACAATTTAAATATAGACTATATTTAAATTGCCAAATTTTGGCGACACTCATATGTGTGTATATTAAAAAAAAAACCAGAAAATTTTGGACAAAAAAAATCCCTTTGTTCGGTAAGTTTGGCCATAAAATATTTAGTTTAATACGAAATATATCACATATATATATATATATATATAATATATATAGTATATATATATATATATATATAATATATATATATAGTATATATATATATATATATAATATATATATATAGTATATATATATATATATATATATAATTTACTATATACGTATAATAAGAATTTACCTAATTTTACGTACCACCGTCAATTTAGTCAAATTAAATAGTAAATTTCCGGGCTCACTGGGGTACTAGCCGATTTTAAAAGCCTGAGAATGTAAGAGAACTGGGGTACTATTCGTCGAAAATTACGTTATATAAAAGAACAATTTAATATGTAACGGTATTATTTATCAAAATAAGTAAACTCGTACAAAGAATTTCCTGAGTTGGTTAATTTGCATTAAATGTTGATATAATTCAGGCCGATTATATTTCAAAATTTAATTCTGTAATTCTGGTCATAAACTTGTATCACGATTCGTGTAAAAGATTATCAATTCCGATTTAGTAAAATAATGCTTCAAAATAATGCTTCATCTGACGCAACATATTAAGTTAAAGATAACCCAATTTCTTTATATCTAGTCCTACGTGAAATGCATTGTGTCAAAGTATTACTACACCTCGATTAGTATGCGTATTTTGCAGGTCTCCTGCATCCAAATTCTATAAATTGTCTGACTGTACGCTTCTAGGCATCCTAAAAAGATTAACCTGATCACGAGTTTACACGTCCTACGGCGCCCTCTTGTCACAAACATTGAACATACATATAGATTTATATCGTACATTTTTTTTTAACAAAGCTTTTTTATTAGTCTGTGTTATAAAGATTTTATTTGAGTGGAAGCAATTCCTTTACTAGAAGTCTCAAGATTTGGACTTTACTAACATAACGTGAAAATTTTGCAAGATGGCGGTCCCAAAGGATTCTCGGGCTACTACAAATATCATTAATACCATGGTGCGGACCGCAGTTTTTTGCGTACTCTACGGTGAGTCGTTTTCACGTTTAGCTTATATATTCAAATCGTTTTACATGTAGTCCTCTTGCTGACGTTTAATACATCGTCAATTTAGCCGTCCAATCGATAGCGATCAACTTTTCACAATTCGCTGCCCTGTTCATATGGCCACTTAATAAGAACATATTTCACAACGTTATCGTTCACACTCAAAAATGCTACGGTATCCTTCTTGTCACTATCACTCAGTTCTTTGCCCCTTGTGATATAGTTGTTACCATAGATGAATCTGCAAAAGGTGTCCTTTCCCCAAATTGCAAATTTAATATTCCCGAAAGAATTATACTAATGGGAAACCATCAGGTGAATCTTCAGTCTCTGTTTAAAATTACCTACATTTTAAATTCTATTTCTAACTGTATTATATTTCTTATTAGATATATGCTGATTGGATATATGTTTGGTAGTTAGAATTTTATTATATAAGTTTTTTTTTTAACATTAAATTAAATGAAAATTTTATCTCTATAATCAGGGCTTTTTCATACATGTCAAATATGCATGGTGCTGTTAAAATCATATTGAAAGCTTCGTTAAAATGGATGCCTATATTCGGATGGTACGTATCAATATATGAGGTTAGATAGAAAATTGATTTTGCACATGTATTGCGCGTTTTCAGTTTTCTTATCGTTTTTATCTTATATGATTATATTAGGGTGAGTAATTATATATAAATATTGATATATATGTGTGTATATATTATTTGTTGATCATATCGCTTTGGAGATTTGATTGATTTACTAGTAATGAGGAAAAGATGCTAAAATAATATTAAACATCCAAATTAAAAATGATAGTAAAACTCAAATATTATATCACATGTGTGAAGCGCTAATAGATAGGATTTTTTAAAACCATCAACCCTTGTAAAAATATTTAACACTGCCATTGATCATTATTTACTCTTAATAGGGGATGCAATTCTTCGACTTTATTTTTCTTAAAAGAAACTGGGCGTCTGACAAAGATAATTTGACCAAAAAACTGAACGAAGTCGCTGATTCCGATGATCCGATGTGGTTACTTATATTTCCAGAAGGAACGTTAGTATCGAAAGAAACGCGAGGATGGTCTCAATCATATGCAGCTAAAATCGGTGTGGTATGTCAATATAAAGCTAAAAAAATGTGATTGTGACGTATAGATGTGTGTCGAAATTCAAAAAAAAAAGGAATTCCGAACATATTTATGCTATTATGGGTAAAATGACGAATTAGCTTATCTCGTGATTCTGTGATTAGAATAGCAATTTTATACTATTATATTCACCAAATCATGAAATAACTTTTTTTATCTGTTATTTAATTTTGTTCACTAAATTAATATTCAAAATCTGAATGGTAATATCTCGTGATCTTGCATCAGAATTGATCACAAGACTACGAAATATCCTCAATTCAATTGCCAAAATTTATTTGTAATAAATTAAAAGAATGGCAACCGTTTTGAAAGAGTTACATTTTCAGATTGATTCAAGTAAATTGGAACAATAATAGTCGACTAACATAGTTTTCAGAACTTTATTAGTGACTATTTTAACTTCGTCATAATACCTTTACCCTATATAATTATATTTAATATTAGTAAAATTAACAATTCATATGTATTGTCGTGTTTGTAGGACGATAATGTACACTGTTTACTACCACATGCTACGGGATTACATTTCTGCTCACAAACACTTAGAAAATCAGTTCATTATATTTACGATCTAACAATTGGATTTGAAGGAGTTTCAAGAGGAACATATCCCGAGGAAATGTATAATCTTAAAGGGATTTACTTTCAGGGAATATTTCCCACTGGTGTACATATGCATATTCGTCGTTATGCAATATCAGAAATCCCTGATGACAAAGATAAATTCACAGAATGGCTTAGACAACGATGGATAGAAAAAGACAAGTTAATGGAAATATTTTATGCTCAAGGACGATTTCCGACTGTTGAATCACCAAGACGTCTGCCCATTAGGCTGAGAAGTATTAATGAAATAGCATACATTTGGTATTTTGTAATCCCATTTGTTTGGCTAGTTTGGAATTTTTCCGGTCTCATGATTGAGAATTTTAATAAAGCAGTAATTCATATTTTGTGAAATTTTTTAAGATTCCCAAATAATTCATTATATTGATATATATTCGATTTAATTTTTATTATCACTAATTGGAGTCGTTATATGTATATTTTTTAATTCTTGACCGATTTGACGAATATACACATTAATTAAGCATGTACTTCTTTTGTTTTATAAACCATGCTTATTTTGTTCACATAATGTAAATAGTGGTAGCTTAAATATATATATATTGAACGTGTGTATATAATTAAATATGTGCAAATATCTTTCATACTCTCTCCCCTTTTGAGATAATATAGATTTTTTTTTTTGTATATCATAACCAAGTATATATAATAACAAAGTCAATAAAAGAAACCGGCTCTAAATTGAATATAAATGTGAAAAGTTTTTACTCACTATTTTATTTGTTTAATAACATTAACGTTAACCAATTTAAAACATTAACACGTGATTATGGACACCGATTTTCTGATGCTCAAATTGTCTGACTCCACTTCTTTCCGAGGAACGCGCTCGTGTTTTAAGTTTATTTTGTCTACATCGGAATTCTTCCGGTCCTTTACTTAACTGTTAAATCTACTAAAAATTTTACAAATTATGCCCCAGAATTCGAAATAAGTAAAATATATACCACCGCAAATTATTATGCTATTTATCGTAGAATTCTCGGTGGCCCTACACATGATCGCGCCACGAGAGTACACGAGAGTACATGAGATTACATATAGTTTGCCATTTATAGAAATCTGAAAAAGCTTAATAACGATTCAAATTACGTATAACCATAAAAGAAACGCAAAAAAAATGCATATATTTACAAATTTCGTAATAGGTCGTATTTAACGATTCTTACAAGCCACGATGCTTAGGCTATACGCGGCTACAGCGAGAGTCCTCGACATAAACAGGTTAAATGCATAATGACGTAGATCGATGGGTGCCAAATGAATTCAAAAAAAGAAACAAGACCTTTTATTTAAATGTTTACAAAAATCTAAAAACTTTTTATTAGCATCAAAAAAAAATCTCGAATCTATTTAAGTCGTTTCTAACACTTCTGGCGGGGAGGCTACGTATTTTGCAAATGTGGTGGCTTTAAAAAAATCAACATAATAAATTAACATCGATATGGTAAATTATTTAAAGGAGGGAATAAACATTCCAGGTTATGATCGTGTGTGAATCCAAGAAAAGAGGCATCCGCTTCGAAAATGGAGTGGCTATGCGATATAAGAAAGAGGTCGATTAATAATAAAATTTTTTTTTCTTTATTATTAACTATTCTCCCGAATGAAAACACAGCCACATATTTTGATATATTGAATATTATGAGGATTGAGACGTTTTTTTTTTTTTTTTTCTTTTTTCATAGATGGATATCAAATTTTCCTTTTTTCGAAAATCGATCATTTTTGAAATCAAAAAAGAAACTCTAAAAAAAAAACAAATCCGTAATTTTTTATAAAAAAAAAAAAAAAAAAAAAAAGATAAAATTAGAATTCTTCATAAATTAATCTTTGCAAAGATATTTAATCGTTAATATTAATTATATTTTATTTTATTTTTTTTTTGAAGATTACATACTTTTATGTATGGCTACGACTAATGAGGGATCAGAATTCAATATAAATTCGCCACTTGTAATCGCGCTTGTCGCGATTATAATTGCAGTAGTAGTAATCGGTGTGATCGTTGTCGTATTTCTCATTTTGCGTTACCAAAATTCAGCTTCCACAAAGACTCGAGGTTTAAAGACAAGAATTGGACCCGAATCACGTGATAATGGACATACACATAAAAAGCGAGATTCAACTGGTATGATATTTGATATTGAAGGAAAAGAAGAATCATTTGAAGAATCTTACGCTGAAGGGGCAGTCGGTCATCAACAGCAATTAACGCCTGGAAGGTCTCTGCCCGTTAGATCACAAACTATATATGGATCCAAACCTCCGTCAACTTCTACGATTACTTTGCAATCTTCAACGATACAAGTTCCAATGATGCAAGAGCATCATTTTATGGCCTCTCACCATAATAATGATGATGATGATGATAATAATAAGAATTATTGACATTATTACATAGGTTGGGTTTGGGAATCGGAATTTCTACTTAATTTGGGATATGTCCCATTTTTGGTCAATAGTTTCAAACTCCAATCAAATTTATTAAATTAATGATATAAATTATTAAAACTTCATTTTCAAATCAAGAAATCAAGAACATAAGAGTGATTTTAGCGACTAGACATGGTATGGGTAGGTAGGTCTAATAGTCATATTGAGTATGCATACAATAAAATGAAAAATAATTATAAAATGAAACTTCGAGTTGTAAATAATAAACCTTTCAAAGTTTCCATAAAAAAAATGCCTAATTGATGAATGAATTACCCATGACGTAACAGAATTCTGAATAATAAGTATTCTTAGTAAATTTAACACAGAAATTTATGGAAGGCTAACTAATAATTCGAAACGTTATAAAATCGATAATTAGACCGTTGTTTTATTTACTTTTATTATTGTTTTATTACATTAAATCAGTGTAATGCTGTAATGGTTTCAAAATTTATTTGAGGCTGATGTGAGGCTGATGTGATACTGATGGACGTAACGATCGTGGGAAGACTTTCTATTGAATTTTACATACATTATTTATACAGTTTAAAGTGCTTTTTCAAACCAAAAAAAAAAACAAACAAAAACACAATAAAATAAGAGGAAATTTTACTAGAATTGTAGGACTCTTGTTAAAAAGTATCTTTTATCTTTCAAAAAAAGTTAGCAATGACTTTATTTTATCCATTTCTGATAAGTCGCTGTTATACTATTTTTAAAAATATACATTTTAACAAGAGTCCTACAACTAATGAAACCTCCTATACAATTCTTTTTTAGTGTGCGTTGTTTTTGTTGTTTTTGAAAAAAATATTTTAAATTGTATAAAATAATGAAAATTCTAATGAAAATAATAGCAATCATATGAAAGTCCTACTGTGAACATAATGATACGAAGCCCCTATGTATAAAGCAGTAGTCCCATCGATAAAAACAAAAGTTCAAAATTTATCTTCCTTTTAATTCCAACTATATTAAAAATCGACCTTCTTTCAATTCCAATTATCACTAGTATTTAAGCCCCACATTATCGAATACAAGTAACGCTATAGCGTTCAATTCAATAACTTTATCGAATTTTTTTACTCTTCTTGCTAAAGAAACGAGAATTTGTAAAGTAAATAAATAAAATAAAAATAGAAAAAAAAAGAAGAAAAAAATTATAGCTTCGGCTAACCAACTATCAGTTGGCTGATCGTTTATCACCAACTTAAGATAATAGCATTGACCAGGGTGAAACTATTATGATTTACAGTTAAAGTTACTCGACAAATTAAAACCTAGTAAATAATTCTACTTAGCCTTAAATTAGTAAGTTTGAGTAGTACTTGAAGGAGTACACCGAGTGGTCTTACGCTCAATTTTTAGATCTTAGAAACGATATTCTTGTTTCAACCTTTTTCGGAACACTAGAGTGTTCTTGACCACATTTGGCCCGCAGATTTTTAAGTATTGATGGGCATCGCGCGTGATCCGCGCAACCTAATAATTACGTAGAAAAAAAATAATAAATAAATTATTATAAAATATGTAGTATTTTAATAATATATAGATAAATAAATGTGAACATAATAGTTATTATAAAATACACAGTAGTTATTTTAATAATGTGGGGAAAGTCACTTGGATAAAACATTTAACTTTTTATTTTTATTTATTAGTAAACAGTAATTTTTTTTCTTTAAAGGGGAAATGTAACTAATTAAAAAAAATAAAAGTTATATACAAATTCTATATACTTGTGTTTATTCCTTTGTTCAAAGTTGGCTTTTACCATATGATTTTAAGTGGTTATTTTTTGAGAAACTAACAAATTTATCATCGTTATTGACTACGTATAAATTTTTGTTCTATGTTCGTGTAACGGTTGCTGGCAGTCATACTTCTAATAATAACGATAATTACAAGTATATGCGCGACCGGTGTCAATATAGTTGCGATGGCGAATTATTGGGATACTATTGCTCAACCAACAATTTCAACAATCGTAGTAAATATTGGCGTATCAATCTAGTAAATAATATATAACGACAAAATCTATATCGTAACCAATTTTAAATTATGTTCTATAAAATGGCAAATTGGAGTAAAAAAGCAAAAGCAATGATCCCAATTGTTTTGCTAATATTTAGTGATTTGATGTGTGCGTTTGAAGCACTGGTTTGTAAATTACTACTCGAACCGTCTTGAATTGTATACCTAAAGAAAATACGTATGTATGTACGAAATTTAAAAAAAAATTATGATGGTTAAAACATTGGTTACTAAATAAAATACGTTACCCCAAAGTTTCCAGAGTTTTAAGAGTTTTAGGACCAATACCAGCACTATTAGAAACTCCATTCTTTTGAGCAATATCATCTAGAGTAATACCATCTTTCGCTGCAAATGTCATTAAAAAATCACCATTTTGCATAAAAGATTTATCTACATGACTAACACTTGACCCTTCTTGAAAAGGCTTAAGACTAGTTTCTAATGGAATTTGATCATTTGAATCAGTTACAAAATTCATTGAAGACGGTGTAGATGCTGCAGTGAATAATTGTTGTGCAAGTGCAAATTGTGGGGAATTTGCAAACCTTGACTTATCTAAATTACTTGAAACTTTTTTTTTTGAAAAAAAATTATTAAGCTGTTTAGTGAGTGAAGTCATCGGTACAAATGTGCCATTCATTTTAACGAACATGAATCTATCAAATTTTGATTCCATAAATCCTGTAAAACTCGCTCCATTGTCGACTGGCAATGGAGTTAATATGCCAGCGCTAAAATAATTTCTCCAACTTGATCCAAAACCTAGTCCATGAATGAATTCATGTGTTACTATATATTCAAAGTCATTCTGTCCTTGTTTTATTTGACCATCACCTCGGAAAAACATGTTTGCTTGTGAATTAAAGTTTGCTAGAATATCATACGTTCCATATTGTGTCCGATTTGGTAGATTCATTTGTTTTACTAAAGCCTGAGGATAAAGTCTTGTCACATTATCATCATCTAATATTGGAATTGTTCGTGCAGGTGCTGCAGATCCTGTTAAAAAAAAAGACTTTAAATAAATATACACTTCAACTTTTATACTGTAAGACTGATAACGCACTGAATAAAAAACGTACCCAAAACTAATCCAGCACTGTTTGAACATTCATTAAGCGTTTTGCAGAAGTCAGTGAAAGTAGCATTTACTTTTATTACTGTGTTAATTTTTAATACTGAAGCTATTCGTTTACCAACATCATTAAATGCATTCTGAGCTTTATTGCAAAGTGTTTGGTCACTGACCCCGCAGTGAAAATCTATGATAAACGCTTGATCTGGGCTAAGATTACCAACCACACCGTTTAATTGTTGGCTTTTTGTTGTTACTATATCACAGTTTGTTTTTTTCATCGAATCATGAGTGAATGGATAACCAGTATATTCATAGCATACAGATCCGTATGCTTGGTCAGGTATGAATCCGATGGTGGCTAGTAAAAGGATATGGAAAACAGGTAGCAACGATATAAGCTTCATATTTGTACGTTACGCAAAGTATCTCTTATTTAAAGAATTTGCCCTGCAAATTCTATAAATGTTTCGAGCGTTAACGTTTGAAATCGTTGCTACAATTTTTCCTGATGAGGAATAATGGTTGATTTTATATGTTACAAAAAAAATCATGATTTCTAAATTTGCATATATACCTATATTTAGGTTTCATCTTAATTCTTTCTTATTTATCCTGAACAGGAATTGTACATTAATTCTTTGTAGGTAATGCATTTTATTCCACACGTTTCTTTGTTTATCAATTTGTGAAACTTTAACCTGTAGATAAATTTTGATGTGCAACTTAACAAAGAATGCAAACTTTCATTTGCATTATCATTTATTTTAAACCTTGTTTTGTTAGCCTTATTTACATCTCATGTATTATTTGTGTATAAATACTAAATGTTTCATATATAAAACCAGAAAACATATTATCTCACTATGCTTATCATTATTGCTATTATCTCTCCTCCACTTGTTCCGATTATTGACTCTGTATTTTAAGTTCCCTGACGATTATTTTCTTGCCTATTGTATTTTAAGTGACTGGGGATTAAGGTGTCCAGAATTATGCGATGCGATAGGGGTCAATTATGCGATGGATGCAAAATAAAATAAATTTATGTAAATAGAGGATGAGATTTTTCTTATATTATAATTTGTTCTGTATCCGTCGAAAATTCCCTTCAACCATGCTCATAATTAGGCGGCATCCATAATTTACGTTAAAACGGTATTGTAATAGAAATTTTAAAGATAATGCAAAAATAATACCAGATGGTATTATCTATTTCTATACAATTTAGTACTAGTTTAACGTATGCCGCCTTAGGTTCATTGATTTTCTACTTCGGAACTTTCGGAATACTTCCTGCCTAAATCAACCAACATATTACCAAGCAGATTTAATGTGCGCTCAACAACCAATCACAATTCATTCACATGATCAGGATACTTTTTTGACTATCGCTATGCACATATTATTGGGTGTCTAATATCAATTTAATCACAAATATAGTGCAAACTACATAGTGAAGATCATTAATGAATTTTTTTCCCAGTGATTTTCAATTAGATCTTTCGATTTCACTATTTCCTATTAAATTGTTATAAAAAAGTGATACATATCGCTAAAATTTTTATTTCTCAATATTTTCAAATTCTGTAAACTGTTTATGCTTTATGAAACATATATTCAAAAAGTAACAACGTTACATTTTACATATGATATATAATGATTCGGATTTTATAGTTTACTTATATGAGGATCATTTACTGGTTACATGAAGATCATTTACCGGTTTTAATTTGGCGACCATAATATTTAATATAAGCTAAATATAAAATTCGGATCATCTTTAGTATAGCTGGGCAATATAGAAATATTATAAGATTATAATATAAAAAAACTCTAACCCTAACTCTAATCTAACTCTAATTTAAACTATAACCCTCACCCTAATTATAGAGCTTGTACCCGTTATAAATTTGAGCTCCGGGTTACTCACCCTCACCCGTTTACAATATCATTACCGGGTCATAAACCGGGTCATCTTAAATTATCCGGGTAACCCGGTTGATCCGTTTCACTTATATGTAATTTTTTTAAAAAATTTATAGAATTGTCGATTGTTTTATTATAAGCATTTAGAATGATCTATATACTGATTGGCTGGAGCTGAGGGGAGCGAGGCGAAAACGTTTAAGCCTTACTCTATTGAATTTTAGGAATGTCTGGCCTCCGCTTCACTTAACCCAAATTTTAGGTCAAAATAACTGAAATTGAACCTAAATTAGGTTCAACATTTGGATACCAAAATCTTTGTTTAAAATATGGTAGCTGACTTTTAATAAAATAGTTTATTGGTTGGAAAATAAGAATTACTCTTTATTAGATATATCATAGATGTGTCATAGTATCGTAAGCCTTACTTTACTGAATTTTGGAAAATGTCTGGTTCCTGCTTCACTTACCCAAATTTTAGGATCAAAATAACCAGAATTAAACCTAAATTAGGTTCAATGTTTGGATACCAAAATCTTTGTTTAAAATATAGTAGCTGACTTTTAATAGAATATATTAACTGACTTTAATAGTTTATTGGTTGAAAAATAATAATTACTTTTATATTAGATATAACATAATTGGCCGAAGTTGAGAGAACCAAGGTAAAAGCCTTTCAACTCATACTCTATGAAATTTTTAGAAATATTTGGTTTCTGTTTAGTGTTTCGACCTGTTCACCTACAGGTGACCTGTTAGGCTGATCCAGGTAGACTGATGGGTATTCTGGATATTCCAAGCATGTTTGTTTACATTGAGTAAAATAGGATTATTAAAGTTTAACATATCCTATTTTATCTAATATAAACAAATATCAGTAATTGGCTAGAAATACCCAGAATACCCATCAGTATACCCAGATTAACCCAATAGGTTACCTGCAAATAAATAGGTTAAAACACTACTTCTGCTTCACCCTGATCCAAATTTTAGGTTCAATAACCAGAATTGAGTCTAAATTAGAATCAACTTCTGGATACCTTTTAAGCTTATATTTATTTTATTAAATTGCAATATTGTATATCAAAAATTATATAGTTACTTAATGCATAAAGCTTATTTTTAAAAGCTATTATAAAATTTTGGGGTGTTAACAATTAGTTTAATCACAAATATATAGCAAGATATATAGTAAAAGTCATTATTAGAATAAATAAAGTGCTAGTTATAATTATATTTACTTAAATATTGTATAAAAATAGAGATCTTCTTTAGTATAGCTGGGCAATATAAAAATATTATAAAATTATAATATAAAAAAGCTCTAACCCTAACCCTAGAGCTAACTATAAACTTTACTATAACCCTTAACTAATCCTAATTAATCTCAAATTTGCTTAAATTAGTTCAAATACTATGTTTATATATTATAATTTTATAATAATTCTATATTGTCTAGTTATACTAAAGATCAACCAATAATAGTTTTAACAGAGCAGCTCTTTAAAGTGAACATTTTTTATATTAGTAAATATCATGCCAATTCACAATATTTACTTGATATTATAGTGGTTCATTATCCCTTAAACTATTCATTTTAGCAGGCAAATTTATCTGCTAAAATTTTTAAGAAGTTTTTAAAAATTGGTTCTAATTTATTTTTATCAAAATTAAGTTATTTTAAATTTTTTTTTTTTAAATATCAACTATGATTATAAATTATATTTTAATAATTTAAATTTTTATATTTATACATAGTATAAAGTATCCACTATTTATTAATAAAAGCTTTAAATTGTTATAACTTTTTTAAAACAAATTAAATCAAAAAACCCTGACAAAGTAATAGATTTTTAGCTAAACTATATTTTTGTCAGAGAAATTTTTCTTATTTTTTGTTTTAAAAAAGTTATAAGAAGTTAAAGTTTATAATAGTTTTAAAAATTGGCATTTAATATAAAAAAAAGAAAATAAAAATTCTTCAACTCTTCCTGACGATTATTTGAACCAATACTTCTGACCAAAGAAAAAATTTAAAGTTTATTGGAGAGATGTGTAGCTACAGTAGTGGTTTGTAGTAGAGGTCAACTAGCTACGAGAACTTCTCACTATTATTCGGCACACAAACCAGAAGCCTAGTTAAGAGGAAAAAGCAAGTAGCACTTTTGGCAAGCTTTTTTGATTCTGGTGGTGAATTTCCGTCGACGAAGCTCTATAGGCTGTAGTTCTAAAGAAGACTTTAGTGGTAGTTTGTGAAAATATAAATAGTTAACCTGGCCTAGGGGACTCTGCCCCATGTTTGGCATGCAAGCCAGAAGCAATGCAAACGAAGGAGAAAAATGCAGGTGGCACTCTTTAACGTAGCAAATTCTGGTAGAACAACGTTTCTGTTAATGAAACTATTAGGCCTTTCTTTAGGACCCAGGGGTACAACAAACATTATCTTTTTCTTTATCCACACTTCTTCTATTAGTTCAAGTGCTCCTTATTTCAAATTTTTTTGCCCTTCCGCTAGTCTTCCAAAAAATTTTTTCTAAAAAGTGGGGAATTTGGTTTACCACCTCCAAAAGATCAGCATTGTTTATATCCCAATTCAGACGAACTCAGTAGAATGTAGCCATGTGTCTTGTTTACTTGCGGATATAGTGCTACTCCATGTGACTTGGATCAGGGTCTTTGGTTAAAGAGGTATTTGAATTTGGTCGATAGTCAGACAGTGTATTATTATATTTGAGATATACAATCATTGCATTTGTTATAAAATTTTTATTTTACCTTGCATGGGTTATAATAGTGTACTCCCCCTATTGTTATTGCAACCTTCAGGTTATTGCCCACTACTTCTTAATAGAGGTAGTTTCCTCTTTGTCAGTCCTCAGGGCTTTTCTCTTTATTTTTCTTTTTTTGCATTTCTTGTTTCTTCTTTTTGTTTCCTTTAAAATTCCTCTTTTCATTTATTTTGTTTTTTAGTAGATATAGTTTCGTTTTTATTTTCGTTAATTGGTGGTTTTGTATTGTTGATATGAAATCATTAGGAGGTTTCAAAGTTAACAAATAAGTGACGCATTTCAAAAATAAATAGAATTTTTTCAATAGGATTTTTACTATGTTAAATTATAAATCGGAAAAATAAAATGAGATTCTCTGAATTTAACTTTGAAACCCCCTATTACTTTCTTTTGCTCTCGGTAAGGAAAGATTAATTGAAGGGATTAGCTTTCGATGGGCTGACAAAGTCTTCCAACTTGTATACAGGATGGTGTAACAGGTCGCTAATGGGCACGTTCAATGCAGCCTTGAGATGTCAGACTTGCAACTTTCTTGCTTCAAATACTTTGTTAGTTTAGGAAATAGTTTTGTACTGTTACTAATTTTTAATAAAGTGCTTGTAATTGAGCTTCAACAAGACCGTTAAAGAGCTAAAAAAAAATATATATATATATTTAATTAACCAATCAGAATTATTTATACAAAAACT